ACTAAGGGAAAGCAGAATAATCCAACTGTCCTTTTGGATTATTCCTCTCCACCAAAAAAGTACGTGTTCCACCAGGAAATTGTGAAGAGCAAGATGAAAGGCAGGATTGAAGCTAGAGATTTTTAGGAATATGGTCAGAAAATGCCTCTTTATTTTGAATGAGTTTAAATCTCAATGACCAGATGAATTACATCTGGCTAGAAGTCAGCAAGGAATCATCAGGAACAAGTCTTGCAGGACCAATAACATGGTTCCTCATCAAACTAGATATAGGTATCCAGTAGGTTCTAGAAGAATCAGTCTTGGATCCTCTACTATTCAGAATGTTTTATTAATGACTTGGATGAAATGGTTTAGGGAAGTCTAATTAAATTTGCAGATGATACAAATTAGTGAGTGGATAGCCCATAATGCAAGAAAGCAGTTTACAAACTGTGCTAAGACATAGTGTACTTTGTTTAGTTTGGATCTTGTGTAAATCAGTCTGAACCCACCCACTGTGATGGGTGGGTTCAGACCATGGTTTGGCTTATCTTGATGTCTCCAGTCACTTCCCTTGGGCTCCCTGCTTCAATCACCTTCTTACGTTGAAATTAGTTAAAAAAAGAAAAGGGAAACTGGCATGCTAAAAGCAATAGCCTCTGGCATCATCTTTATTTCCATGAATGCTTCTGGAAGCTTTCTGAAAAAATAAAAAGGATTGGTGGATGCAGCCCAGACGTAGGAAAAGGTAAGCAGAGGTTGTAGGAACATCTTGAGATGGTAGAAGAGTTTATGCATGGTCATGTTCCCTATAGTAACCATTTTGTGAATTGGAAACTTCCTCCAGCAGCCATTTTTGTGAGTGCCCTCACAATATGTTCTCAAAGATCTAAAAGTGCCTCAGTAGCCCAGAAAGGTTACAGATATCTAATGTAGCTAAAAGGAATTTTCAGGAGGTAGAATCAGGATCCAGATTTTTTTTTTTTCTGAACTGCTTCTGTTTTGTGGATCATATATTTGTGTATGATCACAGTGATGCAGAAACAGATGCTGTGAAACAGAGATTGCTTGCTATTCCCTTAATGGTTTTCCTTTTTGCACTGTTGTCTTTTTGCAGTCTCTCCAGAATTGATGAAATTGCTAAGTGGGACTTCCATTGGGCTGTGTTAGTTCCACAAAGCAATGTGACTGTTGGCCATATAGAATCTGGCAAACCATCAAGCAAAACACCCATTTGTTATTTGTTGCCATTACCATGCTGAGGTTGCTAGGTGATATTGATGCTAAGGCCACTAGTTGCCTAGCAACTGTCAGAAATTGATGTTGCTTTTGGAAACTGGGATGAGGGAGTTTATGTTGGCGCTCTCACATTCCTTTGTTAAACTTTTGATTAACAAGAAGGGAGCAAACTTAGCACCACCTCTTCCTTACCTTATCTTCTTTCTGGTTTTTATTTCTTCCTTTCATTCCTTTCAACGTTTCCTTCCATCTTCCATTGCTGTGACCAATGGGAGGTTTAATTTGAGTAAGACCTTTGGATGAGGCTGTAGTTGACTTCAGATAAAGACAATGCATTTATCCATCACTATTTATATCATATATTCAGTTTTATCTAACTTGGTAGGCCCTTCAGATTTACTGGTCTAGTAATAACACTATTCTCAGTCAATGTGGCTTATCAGTAACCTCTCTGCTATGGCATCATCTATGTCAAGGAGGAATTTAGAAGAAATGCTAAAAATATTTAGGGGAAAAATACCTTATGATTGGAAATTTCAGGCAATATCTGAATGTGCTTTGTGGTCACAAAATGCTAACTATATTTGGAGGAAAGAAGGAGATACAGTAACTGCTTTGGAAGGCAGACTGGAATGAAAATATCATGGAAGTAGAACTGAATTATAAGATCCCATTTTTAGAATTTCTAGTGTGGCCTCCCTTAAAGAGAGCATTGTCTTTGTAAATGGACATCAACCTCCAGAGTTTTCATCAATGGCTATTCTGGTTGAGCAATTTTGGACATTTAAATCTACATTTCTGAAGGTAACTCCCATGTTGATGAAGTTCATTTAAATGCCATTGTGGCTTCACACTCCACCTCAGATCCTTGAATATGCAATACTAAAAAGCATGTAACAACCCATAAAAATCTGAGATGTTTACCTATAAACTGTATCTCATCACTGGCATCATATGCAGTATTTAAAATATGCAGTATTTAAAATAGGATTCTAAATTATTCTGAGTTTTGGCAAGCAGCGAAACGTATCAGACCAAAAGAAAAGAAGAACAGTTGCCATGACTCAACCTCCAGTTGAAATGGGTTATTTCCTGGTTAAGCCCTAACAAGAACGGCTGGATACCTGCATTGTTCCAATATGGAGCACCACTTTAATGTGATTAGTGGCTAAGAATGGGAGCTGAAGCATCTGAACTCAGATTCTCTCTTAAGTGAATTTATGAACTTTGGACTCACCACTGATTCTCACCTTAACATTCTTCTGTGGTATGTTGTAGGGAGAAACAGTTTGGTATATTAGTTAAGGTGTTAAGTAGTTAAGGGTAGGAAGAATGAGGGTCAATGTGAGTCAGTGCTTCTCCCTTACTCAAACTTATCCTGAAGGGATGTTAAGGAGGAAAAAAGGAGGAAGGTGGGTAAAATATACTGTCTTGAATTCCTCAAGAGAAGCCACAATCTAAACCTCAAATTATATAAATGTTACTCTGGGCTTCTTACAAGGCAAAACCATGATACAATATTAATGACTCTGTTAGCAGAATATACAAATTAATCTATATACAATGAGACAAGAACTTTAACTTTTGAAATGCTTGTGGACTGCATTAAAAGTATATGATCAACTCAGCCAAGCAAGTATTATTTTGATTGATATTTTTTCTAGCCAGATCAATTATCTTCATTTTTTTTTTCTTGCTGTTTTTCAGGGGATGCAAATTTTTGGCTTTTCCTGGGTCTGTTGCTTTTGAAGATGATTATGAAATGAATACATTTCCAGAAAGCAATATGCAACGTACTTCATATTTGTTTCCAAACATGTGTATGCTACCTATTCAATAGATTATGTAATACATGTGAGAACATTATAACCCATTAAAGAATTCCCAGGAAAAACCTGAGCTCCCCACTCAAAATAGTGAATATTGAGTTGGTTCTCTAAATTGATCTTATGTATATCACTTATCTAGTTCCATCACTTCCTCTAGAAGCAAGCTCAGTGGTTCTAAGTGTGGCTCAATTTGGAGAGAATCCAGCGATGCAAACTACAGTGGTACCTCGGGATACGAACGCCTCTACTAATGAACATTTCGGGTTACGACCAGCTTCAGCAGGAAAATTTTACCTCGGGTTACGAACTCGCCTCTACTTACGAACTGGATCTGCGGCCATTTTCCCTGCTGCCACGTGGTCACGGCTTCCTGTGGGCGAGGTCGCGGTAGCAAGGAGATGTTCAGTGAGGCTCATGGTGTGTTTTGCGGTGTTTTGTGAAGGTTTTTGGTGTGCGTGTTAGCATGGCTCCAAAGAAAATGCAGAGCAGGCTTGGCGGGAGTAAGGCTCTGAAGGGAAAATTGCCTCGGGTTGCGACCAAATTTGGGTGGAGGGCGGAATGGATTAACTGGATTTACATTGAACCCTATGGGGAAATTTGCCTCAGGTTGCGACCAAATTCGGGCGGAGGGTGGAACGGATTAACCGGATTTACATTGAACCCTATGGGGAAATTTGCCTCGACTTGAGACCAACTCGAGTTGCAACCAGAGTCACGGAAC